AATTTTTGGCAGTGGCGAGCTGGTAAGCCAATTCTGGTACAGGTGCAATGGGGTGAGGGAAGCGCTGCTTTGTGGTACATGCCAATTTCTGCGGTGCTGATATTCCCATCAGGGCTTGATTTCAAGCTACAGATGATTTAACAACTGGCCCACAAAAATCCCTGAACATTCGACATTACTACCCTGCATGGGCTAGCACTTGGTTGAGAAGCAGAGATCAGGGATCTCTGGGTGGACTTGGATTGGTGTACATAGATTGACATCATCTATAAGAGTGGGTATTTAGAGGCATCAGTATTGGAATGAGCCCTCTCCTGATTGGCCCAGTTTCAGCAACCAGAGGCTGGCACAGGTTGGTTGGGTTCTCCTGAGCTAAGTTGTCCTTGACCCAGCCCATAGCTCTGAACCCAGTTCTGACAGCTCCGTGTTATCAGGAGTACATAACCATCGTCCTTCTCAAGTGTTTGTGAACACTTGGTTAAAAATTAAACACAGTCTTTCATAGCAAAGGCTGAACCATCTGGGATGTTTACTCCAAATTTATTTCCCATCGCAGGTTTTTGGATGGCCGGAGAAGTCCCCATCACATAACAGACACATCTGGGTGAGGTGTGTTTCCTCCCTCTTGTCTTTCCACCCCCATGACCCTGAACGTTGCTGGGCCCAACTGGAGGAGTTTTGCATAGCATTTTGACTGTTCTAGTGGAACAGTCTGAAAACTGAGACAACTGTCAGCAACATCCTCTTGTTGGGCCTCTGAGATGGAGAGTTCTAATGAATGGTTCACCATCCTGGGCTGGTCCAGGGAGCCTGTAGCTCCCATCTAACAAGGTGACCTCGTGAGGTCCTTCACCTGCTTCCCTTCCCCGGCCCGTGCTACTTCCTGGATCTGTGACTACTCACTGACCCGAGTCTATTCCAACTCATCGTGGCCCTGCAGGACAGAGTAGCACGGGCCTGGTGGGTTTCTGAGACTTTAAAACCTTACAGGAATAGACAGTCTGACCTTTCTCCCTCAGAGCGGCTGCTGGGTTCAAACCACTGACCTTATGACTAGCAGCTCAATTCACAACCCAGGACACCAACAGGGCTCCTGAGCAGCAATTCTCCCTGAGTCGGAGGTGGGGAGGTTGGGTTAGGATGCACGCTTTCCTGATCAGAACAGCAGCCGTGTTCCCTTATTGACAGAATCCATTCTCTTCTCCAATGACCTCCCTGTCCGTCCCTTCTGAACCCCGGTTCTAGCACAAGAGCCTCGCTCAGCCCATGAATAAGAGCAGCAACTGGGTGACAGAGGAACCTGGGTTTAAACCTCGGTTCTCCTCTCCACAGGACGTGCCTCATCTACCATCACACCTGGGCTTTCTCTGTTGCCGTGTGCCTTCATCCAACTCACAGGGACCCCCAGAGAGTAGGTCGGGAGGGCCGTCTTCTGAGCAGCCAGCGAGTGTGCTCGAATCGGTGCTCATTAAGTAAGCAGGCGAGCTCCAGGGTTCCTTTAAGCCTTCTCTAAACACCTTATGATCCGTTGCATCGACTCTCTCCATGGGACACAGAGGCCGACAATGCTTTAAAACATAAGAACCACTGGGAGGAGAGGGCAGGGCAGGGCGGTGTTTCATTCGGTGGCACACCGTGCCTCTCTGTGTCGGGACTAAGGCCATGGGCCCCATGAGCAGGTATCGCTCATCTGACCAACAGAACTGTCGATGAGACATCTGTGAACCTGCAACCAGGCTGATCTGCCAGCCGCTGCTGCTGCGAAGGCCACGAGAGGGTACCATTCATTCCTTGGGTAAAGCGAAGGGGTGCATGAGGACGGCAGGGAACACAAACTGAGCGGAGAACAGAAGCGTGCAGACAACTGGGTTCTGAGCTCCAGCCTCTGGAGCAGCCCAGCTCTCTGATCCTCCACCAGCCTTACCATCCTCTCGTGGGGCTCTGAAGCTCCTGGGCTTCAAACTCAATGCCCTTTTCCCTCAATGCCTGCTACCTTTGATCTCTTAAAGACGTGTTCACTCTGCCAGCTCCCCTGCTTGCTCTGTCCCAGATCATTCCCGCGCTTGAAGGGGTTAACTAACCACGTAGCTACATGCCTAAACTTAAGCCAGACTGCCCGGACTCTGGCTCTACCACTGCTCTTGGGCAGGGGAGCCTCAATTTCCTCATTTGTCACATGGGGATAATGCTTCTGCCGACCTCATGGGATAGGCAAGAAGACGAAACGATTCTCACTCCCAGCCGTTGAGTTGATTCTGAGATTCTGATTCAGCGTGACCCTCTAGGACAGGGTAGAACCGTCCCTGTGGGTTTCTGATATGGTAACCCTGTCGAAAGCGCCCTCTTTCTCCCGAGGAACAGCTGGTGGTTTCGAACCTCTGACCTTGTGGGCTGCAGCCCAATGTGAAACCAGGACACCACCAGGGCTCCTGATGAAATGATTGGCTAGATGTAAACCATGGCCCTGCCGAGAGCAGACTGCAGCACGTGGGCTTGTAGTGATTGTTTTCCTGGATGTCCTTTCCCAGGCCTCCCCTTCTCCCGCCGCAGCGCCTCTGATCTGCAGCGCCCCCACCCTCATCCCAAGCCCTAGCCTCAGCTTTCTTCTCTCCAGAAACGCCTCCTTAGCGAATTCTTTCATTTGCCCAGTTCCAGATGTCAGCAACTCTCAGGTAAGTGTCTGGGACCTGGATCCCTCACAGAGGCTGTTCTCTGTCTTTTCTGCTTCCACGTGTCCCTGTCATCACAAACCGAGCCTTCAGTAAAGTCCAGTGTCTTAGCACCACCCCCCCCCACCCCTCCCACCCCCCCGCCACCACCACCGTAAGCTAGCCCATCTTCTTCCCCATCCATCCTTGGGGCCCTGACTCACCCAGTGTCCATCCACACCCAAGGCTCTCCATGTTCTCCCAACAAGAGAGGGAAATTAGTGACTTGCTTTGAAATCCTGCCTTATCTAAGAAAATACTGTAGACACGAAGCCTAAAAATTTCCCTCATTTTCCACCCAGATTAACTTCTCCCACGAATGCACTCGCAGAAACATCCAGGCTGAGCAATGCAGTGCTATATCGTGGTTAAGTCTTTAGGAGAGAAACGTGTATGCCAAGCGATTCAGTAGTTTGTTATTGCACAGTTAACTCCGACTGAAGTGAATCAGCCTTGGGAAGCATCCAAAGGACACAACCCCAGATTCTAAGGAGGGACCCCTGGAACCCCACCTCCTTTCAGAACATCGATGTGGACCAAAGCAGGAAAGAGCAGCCAGGTCTCGGGGTGCAGAGCCTGTGGCGCATATGGCGCCCCCGGATGGGAGGGCAGCGAGACTCTAAGAGCTGTAACAAAAACGAAGGGACTGGCCTCCCGAGGCAGCCTTGACACTGTGTCCTGTTGACCCACCAGATCTGTTCATAAACGCACAGACTCTCAGCCTGCCTCTGTGACGGACTGCCGCAGCCGGAGGCCGGGCACAGAGTCCAGTGACACTAACATCCAATTTGTAACCAAACTTGTGCTTCCCTCTGCTTTCTTCCCCCTTCCCCCTCTTTCTCTTCATACCACCACCACCACCACCTCCACCACCATCACCACCACCACCACCACCACCTCCACCCTTCATAACCCCATCCAATCACTGCCGCAGCTTGTCAACAGTGCCCCCTCACTGAAGGGGCCTGCCTCTCAGTGGGGCGTAACCAGTGCCCAGGGGGTCAGAGTAAGAGGCCACACAACGATGGCGAAGGAGCCACAGGGGTCCTCGGTTGTCCACCGGCTGCTGGAACAGATGTGAAATTGTGAACCACAGAACCACGGCCCCTGATCACCAAAGAGGTTGAAAAGTTACTTAGGTTGGAGAAATCAGAAACAACTCCCTGGTGATAGACAGAGATGGTGACATGTGAGAGGGCTAAAGGCCTCCACAGTGATTTAAAATCCTGGGGGGGAAATGAATTTATAAGTGTAATTTAGGGCCCCCGGAAACAATTATCTGGTTTTCCATGGTTTCTTCTGGGAGAAATATGTTTCGTTCTCAAACTTTTCGGTGTTCAAACATGAATTTGGAACCAACTGAGGTCAACAACCCAGGTGTCCCTGGATTCCCCTTTGATCGCGGTGCAAGATCATTCAGCTTTACCAGCTCCCAGCACCATATGCCAGTTGTTCACCCCCCCCCCCTTGGTTTGGACAACTCAACACCCACTCACAAACCCCCCACCCCCACACAAACATACCCTCCCCCTAACTGCCCCATCCCACCCAGGCTGCTTGAGACCTTACAGTCAGTTCCACCTGGTCTGTTTCTGTGTGAGTCTCCAATTGCTTCCTGAGGCTCCTTTGTCTACCTCTAACACTAAGCTTTTCAAGGGCTGAGGCCACTCTTGTCTGGAACGACAGGGACTGGCATCGTGTAAGGCAGCAAGCCCCCAGAGACAGGCTACTTGGTTGATCTCAAAGTTCTTGATCCAAACCTGCTTTCCACCTGCCTGGGATGGGGCCTTTCAGATTTGGCAGCCGGAATAGTATTGTATACAAGAAACAAACCAAAAACGTTATGATCATCACAGCCTTCACACTGAATAGCTAAGAATAAAACTGGATTTGTACCAAACACCACCACCACCCTCCCGAAAAAATATCACCAATCTCATTGCCATGGAGTTAATACTGACTCATCGTGACCCTACAGGACAGGACAGACCTGCCCCCCGAGGGTTTCTGAGATTGTCACTCTTTACAAGAGTAGGAAGGCCTAGCTGGTGGTTTCCAACTGTTGACCTGGCAGTTCACGGCCCGACTGGTAACCAGGAGGTGATAAACAGACAGCTTCTCCACCACCTCCGCCTGGCCCCTCTGCGCCCCCGAGGGGTGCTCATCTCTGTCCACACCATAGAGGCTGTGGTTGAAATCGGCCTGCGGGCTTGCTGCCTCTCCAAGACCCCGTCTCCAGCACACACTCCTGAGAAAGCGAAAGGTGGGTGCTGTGGCCTGGCAGGGCTCTACCTTCTTCCCCCTCGTGGAGGTCCGTGCAGTCCCGTAAGTCTTCATCCACCCACGGGCGGGACTCGGCCCTGGCTCGAGGCTCCCGGGCCTGTTTCTCCACGTTTCTGTCAGCATTTTTAAAGATCCACACAATCAAAATGCAGACAACGGCCACCAAGACGGGCGTCAGGGAAAACATGGTCCTTTGGCGAGGGCTCACGAGGTATTTAAACAAGCCCAGGCCAGCGGCGGCAGGAGGGTGAGGAACCAAGTGCAGCCAGCGCTTCCTGACTTCTTGAGGGTTCTCTGAGGAGCAAAGATCACAGGCAGGCGGTACGGTGGGGGTGGGGTTGCTGTTTCCCAGGCGCGATCACCTGATCATTTTACCAAATCCAATCAATACATTGTTAGGCAATAATTGCCAAGATCTGAGTCAGCACTTCAAGGCCCTGACCCTGGGCAAAGGGAACTGTCTGCACCAATCTTCTCTGACCGCAGCTGTCTCCCACTCACTGGCAGATAGGATTCCCTGCCCAACTGGCTTTGCAAAGAAGGGACTTCCAGGCACCAACTCAAGGCGGCTGAATGAAGAGGAAAGAGTTGGGGGGGGGGGAGGGCGAATGGGGGGAGGGAAGGGGGCTGTGCATCTTTTAAAAACTGCCTGGTATAGAAACACTGTCCTACGTGGGGGTTTTGTTTGTTTGTTTGTTTTATTGAGGTTCAATTAGCTTATCATACAATTCAATGATAATAATAATACTCACTGCCATCAAGTCCATGCTGACTCTCAGCCACCATATAGGACAGGGACGAGCTGCCCCCTGTGGGTTTCTGAGACTGCGCTGGTAGAAAGCCCCCTCTTTCTCCCACTGGTTTCAAATCGCTGATCACAAGGCACCACTGCTCCGCTGCCAGGGCCCCAACAGTTCCATCATCACCACCATCAGCTTTGGGACATTTTCTGACTTCCTGTGTCCATTGCTGTGGACTCCCCATTCCGGACCCCCCCCCTCCCCTTCTGCCAGGTCATTAATTATTAATCCTGCGGCTGTTCATAGAGCGACCCGTCCTGACTCTGCTCAGAAAAACGAACAGAACAAAGACCAAAAAACAGGACCCAGCAGCAAAAACAAAACGGAGAAAAACCTCAATGGAAAAGAAAGCAGAAAATATTTTAAAAACAGAATATATTCATAATGGATCAAAAGGGAGATCTCATGACAAGCTCTTTACATTCTGGCATTTTTGGGTTTTTTTAAATCATTTTATTGGGAGCTCTTAACTGATGTAGCAATCCGTACATCAATTATAGTAAGCAAACGTACATAGGTGGCCATTGTCATTTTCAAAACATTATCTTTCTACTTGAGCCCTTATTATCAGTTCCTCTTTTTCCCTCCCACCCTCATGAACCCTTGATAATTTATATATGTATATTTTCATACCTTACATCTTCCACTGTATCCCGTCACCCAAGTTTCTATTATTCATCCCCCTCAGGGTGGAGGTAGGGGGTGGGGTTATACATCCATTGTGATCAGTTCCCCCTTTCTCCCCCCACCCTCCTCTGATCCTTATGGTATGGGACTCCCATTGCTGTTTCTGAGGGTTTATCTATCCTGGCGTCCGCATTACATTCCAGCCCTAACTAGAGCTGCAAAACCCCACTTGTCAATGCTTTTCAGTCTGCTCTTACTGCTATTCACGTTCCTAGACCGCTTTGGTGGGGATCACCAGATAGCTCAGTCAGTCCCCGGACGTGGCTTTGGTTGTGTGCTGTTTGGGCAGGAAGCAGAAGTCAACATGTGGAGTGAAGAAATTCTCATGTCTTAAAGCAGAGAAGGACGCCACGCTTGGTAAAGTGGAAGGGCAGCGAGAAAGAGGAAGACCTTCAAGGAGATGGGCTGACGCAGCGGTGGGCTCAGACTGCAGAGCAATTGTGAGGACGGCGCAGGACTGGGCAGTGTTTCCTTCGGTTGTACACGGGGTCACTATGAGGGGACGGAACCGGCTCAATGGCACCTAACAACAACAACAAGAACAACACAGAGAAAACGAGGTCGAGGAAAAGTGATGCCAAGCAATGAAGTGAGTGACTGATTGTATAGTAACTACTGAAGTAGAGCTTTTATTTGTAAGGGATCAAAGTATTTACAGTCAGATGCCACTTGAGTAAAACAGAGGGTTGGATTCAATGCCTTTAGAGGTACATGGGCCCTGGCAGTGCAGCGGGTAAACCCTGAAAGATTGACAGTTCGAATCTGCCTGCTGCTCCGATTCTATGGAGATTGATGACCTAGGAAACTCGGTCCCAGGGTGGCTGTGAGTCAAAGAGGGCCACTTAGCAGGGGTGTGGGCATTTAGTTTGTCCAGTCACAATATTCCTGGAAGATCGTACTGTCCATTAAAAGCAGCGGTTACCTCAGCTCTCTGTGCTCCTTTTACGACGGGCTTAATTTCCAGCCAGGAATGCGTTTCATTTCAAACTCAAGATTTGTTTGGGGGAAGATGTGGCCACCGGATCCCTGGGGAAGAAAGAGGGAGAATGTTTACTGTGCACTCTTCTATCATGTTTAACTATTATGAATAGGTAACAACCTATAAAAAATTAGCAGACATATTTTAACAGTGCCCTTTGTGATGCACTCCTTTCTTCAGCTACGCTGGTAGAGGTCATCTGGTTCCGACTGCTAGCAAACAGATACACAAAGAACAAAGACCCCCCAATCATTCCTGTGGCCGAGCACATTGGTGCAACCGCTGTGCCAATCCAGCTCTTCTTGTGGGGGGCCTTCTACTTTCCCCAGGCTGGAGGCCCTTCTCCGGGGATGGGGTCCAACTGCAGAGAACCGTATGGAAGATCGTAGGTAAAGTTCATTATGAACCATTGGAGCCTGAGTGAGACCTAGTGGTTGCCCCTTCCGCCGTGAAGTCTTCAGGAAGTGACGGGTAGAAGATCAGGGCTAAAGGGGGGTCATATATTTGCCGAATGCCTACGTGAAACGAAAATGAGCCGGCCATGCCACAGTAAAGGGATGGCAAAGGAATCGGGCACACATGAGACACTAGTGGGAGATGATGCAGACGGAGGTGAAGGTCAACCTTCACAGGTCAATGTCACAGGTGCCCCTGAACTTAGCCACTAAAGATGGCAACACCCTCAAGCACACCCCCTCAAATCGTGGAGGGGGAGGATAAAAGCAGGGATCAAGGGAAGGAGATCCGCCTCTTGGCTCCATACTCTGTGTCCGTGTTGAGCTCCTGTTCAGGTACTCCTTACACGTGGCCCCTGAAGTGGCCATCTTCAGCCGCGAACTCTTGCGTGGTCCCCATGCGGTCTTGCACGCTTTCCAGCAATAACGTGTACTTTCTGACACTGTAGTAACCTGGAACTTCCCTTTCCCTCATAAACAATTACTTGGGTTTATAAAAGTGCTTCCGCCACGTGAATTTTTTCAGCATAGCCAAGCAAGAACAAGGCAACCCATCCCAGAAACCTAACGGAAGAAGTTACATTAGAATCTACCGTAACTTAGTCTCAACCTGGGGGTCATGATTCATTAGATATAGGGCCTCCCAGGGGACTGAGGACAGCTCCATGGAGCTGCATCCCACCCACCCCAGCTCAGACTGTGCCTGAGGTGGGGGCAGCCCAGGCTGTGGCACCTCCTCATTCCACACAAGGTACCAAGGAAGCCCCTGGGTAGTCTGAGGGGAGCAGAAGCCACAGGCAGTGAGCAACGGGGCTGGGCAGGAGCCAGCGCCACGCCTACACAGGAGACAGGGCTGGTGACTGCCCAGGTTCAGTCCTCTTGAAAGACCCACTTCCCCTCCAGGGATCCGCATGACTCTGTCCCTAACCACCGGAGCCCAACTCCCACAGTGTCAGGAATGGGATGAGACGCAGAGGGAATGAGGTAGGGCTAGACTGGGTGTGGCCCAGGGACGGGGGAATCCCCTCTCCTCAGGACGGAGTATCATTATGAGCCCATGGTATACAGAGAGGTGGGGGGGAGGGGGGCGAGGATGTTTCCGAAAGAACAGGGAAGTGGGAGAATCCCACCCTAGGGATAAGGGAGGAGTCAAGAAGAGCTCCGCGGAAAAGCTGCAGTCAAACTTACTCATTCAAACCAAAAAAGCAAAAGCCGCCTAGGGACCCCCTTTAGGACAGGGTAGAACTGCCCCTGGGAGCTGAGACTGTAACTCTGTGTAAGGTGACCAGACGTCCCGCTTTTGGCGGGACAGTCCCGATTTTGGCGGGACAGTCCCGATTTTTAACAATTTTTCCGGTGTCCCGCGGCATTTTTAAAAAGTCCCGATTTTTGGAAAGAATGCACGACAAGCTAGGGTATACGGTTTTCGGCTGCCATGTGGCTATTTCACGAGGATATGAGTTTTATCAATGGTGTCCCGCTTTACCAATGTTAAACTCTGGTCACCTTATCTTAGAGGGAAGAGAGCCTCAGCTTTCTCCTGAGCGGCTGTTGGAGGTTCTGAACAGCAGGCCTGGCAGCAGCCCCACGTGTACCCACGGCACCGCCAGGGCTCCTTCTACCAATCCAAGGGCCCCTTGATTAGAGAATGCGCCCCCATCATGATCATGCGCGGTGGGGCTAAGAAATGACCTATCGAAGCCCTGTGCCCATTGTAAGAATAACAGCCGCACCAGCACGAGGACAGCTTATCATCAGGGCACTTCCAACTGGACCAAATAAGGGGGAGTGAGAGACGGACCCCAAACTTAGCAGTTCTTCCCCACCCCCAAAAAGAACGATCATGAATACCATCCCCACCCCCACCCTCCACAGGAGCCTTTGAAATTAAGGCTTGGCAGAGACGCTGTGCCTTTGGGATACTTAGGGATTCTTCAGGGGGCAGTGGGGCGGGAGGCCAGGGACATTCCAAGAGGATGACTTCTAGGCAGAGGGAAGTGTCTACTAGGCGAAGGTGTGCCTTTGGAAGGAGCTGGCACTCCATGGGCAGAAAGGAGGAAGAGAAGAGGTTTCCCCTGAGCACTGACACAGCAGGAGGATCGGGTCTTCCTGGTTAGCAGTGTGGGGAGAGGGGGCAGGAAATGGCAGGCAACTGAGGCAGGTAAGGGTGTTGCTTGGTGGGAAGACACAAGTGCTCAGGACTTCCACATCAGCTGGGGTGCCTTGTATGCAAAGCCTCTTGCAGCGCTGGTGTAGGAGCGTAGCTTTTCTGAGGCTCCTGTTCTTAGATGCCCTGGAGACCATATTCCTTCACTACTTGGCCAATTAATCATAAAACTGTCTCCACAGACAGGCCTCCCAT